TGCAAGCAAAACTAATCAATTCTCATAGATGTCAAGAGACTAGTTACTTTTGTTGGCTTCAGTTTGACTAAGAGGGTTTATCAAAACATTCTGTGTATAACTAGAAATGAACTATATATTTTGACTGCATGGTAGTTAAAAAATGCATACATATGTAAAAACTCATTCAGCTGCACAAAAATTTGTGCCCTTTTCTGTATATTAGTTATATCTCAATAAAACAGTTAAAAAGTAGATAAGGGGAAGGAAATTTTGAATTTAGCTGTTTAGTTCCAAAGGTCTTTTCATTCTACTACACAGTCTTTCTGCAATTTCTCCAGTTTTTTAAACACACAATTTTACCCGTTTTTGCACAAAAAGGTTCATAATAAACTATTGCAAGTAAATTCACATAGTGGAAATTGCAGAGTACAGGAGGCTGGTCATGAAATGATGAAGAAGTAAACTGGGACTGAATTATAAAGAGTTTTATGAATCTCTTAAAAGTGATGGGTATGGATTTTATTTATATGGGGAATATTTGAAGATTTTATATTAAAAATTTTATAACCATATTAGCTGTTGTGGGTAAAATGGATTAGAAAGAATAAAGGGGAGAACAAAGAGAAAGTTAGGAGGCTGTTGCTGATAGGTGTTGGATTGATTATGACAGTGTGGTTGGTAGGTGAATAAATATATATTAAGGGAGAACTGAGTAAGTCTTTGCGATCAATTGGATGTGGGTGATGAGGGATAGATAGGAGCTGACTGAAGTGGCCAGGTGAACTTATCCATATTGAAGCAGGTCCTATTCAAACACCAGGAAAACAGAGACAAAGTATATTGCTCTAGGAGAGACTAATGTTAGGCAGGGTGTCAGGATTCTAGCCAAGTGATTTGGGATTCAGGGAAGGTTTCTAGTCCTTGTAAAAAAAAAAAAATAGAATATTATTATAGGCTGAATTGTGTCCCTAGTGCCTGAGATTGTGACTGTTGGAGACAATGTCTTTAAAGAGGTAATTTAAGTTCAAATGAGGTCACGAGGGTAGGCCCCTAATCCATATGAGTTGTCTCCTTATTTTAAGAAAAAAAAGGAAATTTGGTCATAGATACAGACAGAAAGAAGATCATGTTAAGAGATAGGGAGAAGATGGCTATCTACATGCCAAGGAGAGAGAACCTCAGAAGAAACTAAGCCTACAGACAACTTGATCTTGGACTTCCAGCCTCCGATTGTGAGAAGATAAATTTCTGTTGTTTAAGCAACAAAGTCTGTGGTACTTCACTATGGCAGACCTAGCAAACTAATATGTGTCCACTTGAACTTAAGCCCATTCAAATCAGAGAGGGTACAAGGCCATATGGGTGTGGGAAGGGGCTGAATTATATAGCTCAGAAAGCAGGGCCAATGGCGCCCTTTGGATAGTGATCTTCTAGCTAGGAATTAATTCCAAACTCCATCTACTGTAGGGATGGGAGCTTCTAATATTTTCCCAAATTTAATTCTCATTGGCTCAAAGATCAGGCAGAGCAGAGCTATAAGTGGAAAGCCTTTAATTCTGCTGCTGGGCAGAGTTAGAAGCAAGCAGGGGTTGACTGATCATCTCAATATTTTAAAATAACCAACTGGATGTCAACATAAATGATAGGTACGGTCAAGATAGACTTGATAAACAATTTAGATATTTGTACTTGTACATTCCTTGGATATTAGACTAAGAAATCCATGTAAATATATGTGTACTAATGTTTAGTCAACATACTTCATTTCATATCCTCTTCAGTGGATCAACCATTATCCTTGCTTGCTTCTATTATTGCAGCTTCTGTCTCAGTATTGCTCCCCAGTAATGAGGATCAAGGTAGATTATGAGGCATGAATATATGCATTGCCATGATATTCTCATTTGTCTGTATATATTTGTCTAGGATGGGATCACTTAGAAATTATTCTAACCTCCTTGTTCTAGTCTCCTAAGTTTAATGATAAAGTTTAGATTCTTCCTTTGCAATTACTTTTACATCCATCCTTTCTTTTTACATTTCTACATATCCTAGTTTAAGCTATTTTTTAATCCTGCCTGAACTGCAATAGGTTATTCTCTGTCCTGCTTATCTCCTGGGTCTCTCCTCACCACCTAAATCTATCCTGCAGAAAATCTTTAGAGAACATCACGTTGACTACAATGCCATTTTTCTATTTGTTAACCTCCAACAGCTCCTGATTGTGTATAGGGACAAATGTCAACACTCCTCAGTCTAATGTTCAAGGCTTTGGGAATCTGACCCCCTCTAACATATTTCTATCTTATTTTCATCTGCCCTAGCTTTCCAAATCTTCAAATGCATTGAAGTGTTTTCAGGCATTACCATCCACATGCCTCCATGCAGCCCTGTGCTTTACACCCCCACACTATTGTTCATATGGTTCCACCTCTTATCTACCTCCTTTCCTGTGCCCTTCCTATCCTCTAAGAACGTCTCAAATCCCAGAAGCTTTTGATCTTGTTTTTCTCCTAGTGTGACATCCTCTTCTCTGCCTACCCATCTTTCAAGGCCTACCATAATTTCTACCACATCTTGAAATCTCTCCTAACCATCCTGGCAGTTAATCCTTTGTGAAAGGTTACTTACTGTGGGGCATTTAGGTGATAGATGCTGTCTGAGCCCTAGGGGTCATGGTTGATAAAACGTACATACCTCCTCATTTCCAGGACAAGGTGTTCTTCTTCCTTATGTGCCTATTGCAGTTAATGCCCAAAGAATTGTCTATTAACAATGTGATATATTAGGAAATTAATTCTGTTTTGAATTGCCAATTAAATTTCTATGATTTAACTTTTTTAAGAAATGGTTTATGTTTCCCAATTAGATAGTAAAGGCTTTGCCCCCAGATGATCTAGTTTGAGAGAGGGGTACACTATTACATACCAGGCAATGAGGTGTGCTTTTGCTAATGCTTCTTCATAGTGTGACATGGGTAACAGTCCCTTTTCTGGGACACAAAAAATTCATGGTTTTACAAATAGTGTTACTTAAGATAGGACAAAAGTGGATAGTCTCCATTTAAATCTTTTGAAAAGTGAGTTGATTTTAATAAAAAATTAGAGGCCTGGTGCACAGGTCCCTAGACCTGGCCTGCAGCTCTGTGACATCCCCTGAGGGGGTCCCAGATTGCAAGAGGGTGCAGGCCAGACCGAGGGACCCTACAGGTGCACAATCAGAGCTGGAGAGGGACCACGGGAGGTTGGCCAGCCAGAGAAGGACCAAGGAAGGCCTCCAGGACTCCAGGGCATATCTGGCCCATCTTGCCCAGTCCCTATCAACCAGACCCCAGCAGCAAGCTGACCTACTGGTTGTAGCATCTGCCCCCTGGTGGTCAGTTCACGTTATAGTGACTGGTCGAACGGTCAAATGAATGGTAGGACACTTAGTTAGACCTTGAAAGATAGGTGGGCAGATGGGTAGGCTTTTATTATATAGGATATAAATAATGGTTATAACAAAAGTGTGGCAAATCCTCTAGAAGTGGTTCTTTAATTATTAGAACAGTGTTATATGATATCACACTTATTTCTGAGAACAACCTTGCAAATTAGAAACTAAACTTCAGAGAAACATTGGAACTTACTTAAGTCAGAAAGCTAATGGGCCATGATGCAAGTTCAGGTGTTGGTACCTAGGTCTCTGACAAAAGCTCTCCAAGTTTCCCCTTTACCATGATGCTCTTTTACATGTAGGAAGATTTCGTGTAATTAACTGTGTGTCTGACTTGTGCTTTTACACCCCACATCATCTCCTCAGAAAAATTTACTTTCTAAATTAAGTCCTTCACCTCCAGAAATATAAAAGGGGAACCAGAATGAAAGTGGTGTGCTTCTAAGCACATTTATAACACATACAAGGAAAAGGAGCCCATTTCCTGCTTGGCAGAGTGAAACATTAATTCTTCACCTTGGCACCTCAACCTACAGCTGTAATAAGGACCGCTATGCCCAAATAGGCCCTTAAACGGAAGACCTGCTGAGCAGAGACCCACTTTCCCAGCCCTGCTCCAAGACGGTCAGCTTTTCTGCCAACTGACCAGGCGGAAGCGGCAGCAGGGGAGGAGGGCCTGCAGGTAGGTGGGGAGGGGATCATTTTGAAAGCCCCAAATCCCTTGCAGGGAAGAAGCAGCTGCTCCTTCTTTCTCTAACATCTGTCCCCTCTGTCCCTGGCTGCATGTCACCCTTTGGAGGCTTGAGCTAGCTAAACGTGGGGATGACAAGAAAGCACTTTTGAAGGCCCGTCGGCGGGTGGAAATTAGCATAATTGTCACCAGGAAGTTTCTTCAGATGGGAAGAAGGCAATTGGAGTTCTCAAGGAGGATGGTTACTACCTTACTTCATTTCCCTCACAAAACATACAGTTTTAATGATCAAGAGTGGGATTTATACTGCCTGAGGATATTATTTCATTAAACAGCGCCCAATTAAAAATTTTAACCTCCAGAGGAGCCACAGGCTACTGATTTGGGAAAGAGAGAATGCTACTGCACACTTTGTACCACCTTTATGGTATACTAAACTGCATATCTCGCACGTGTGGCTTTTATCACAATTAACAGCGTGTTGCTTGCATCTCACTCCCCCATTAATACGGTGCTCCTCGAGAATGGGGATCTTATTATTATTCAATTATTTTCCCCTCGTGTTCAAAACCCTGGTTGTATAACCTGACAAGCATGAAATAGACATTTATAAATGAATGAACGTTAACCAAGAAAAAACGAAGAGGATAATTCATTTGGTTCTCCCAAAGCGGCAGTGGAGCCTGGAGCCTGGATTTAGACCGTGTCACCAAGGAAGGCGCAGTCCCAAAGGTCCACAGCTTCGGCTCCGGGCACCCTGGCTGAGTGGGTCTGAGTCGGCTCCGCCCCGCAAGGCGCGCGCGGCCACGCCCCTTCCCGGCCACGCCCACTGAGACCTGCACTCCACTCTGTACAAGTTAGGGGCGGGGCCAGGGGAGCGCAGGCGCAATGGGAGGCGGAAGTAGCTACTCTGGAAGAGGGAAAGGGACTTGCTGCGCTTCGTGAAGGGCAACGCGCTCAAACTCCCGTGCAGCTCCGGGAAGCCCGTGCGGGCGGCTGCACGTGCGGCCTCACCCAGGCTCCTCCCCTCCCCGCCCCCTGCCCGGGTGTGGCCTCGCGGCTGCGTTCTCCGTCGCCGAGATGGCGCTCGACCCGGCAGGTACGCGGGCGGGAAGCGGGGGTTGTTGCTGAAGTCTCGGCCCGGGGCTGTAACCGCAGGCCTGCGGGCTGGGGCCGCCCAGGAGAGGCGCTGGCCCTGCGGTGGCACCGCTTCCGCAGACGTCCCCTCCCGTCCGGCCGGCTGCTTAGGGGGTTTGGTCAGCCCCCGTTCCTTCCCTTGGGCTCCAGGTCGTCTTCCCGCTCCTCGTGGTCAGGGTTAGGCAAAGGCATTGGGTTTCTTGTCTAGGCTCCAGTCCATTTGTGGCTTACAAACATTTTCCTCCCCAACGCGACTGGTTTCTTCATCCTCATTCTCTTTTTTTCGCTTCTTTGAGACACAGCCTCCTTTAAATATCTGTAGCCTAACTTAAACACATCAACACACAGGATCGATCCCTGTGGGAAGAGGCAGTTTCTTTGGAAAGAATCACCAAAGTCGTCGTCATGGTTATTTTAACGTAGATGCTCACACCCCACTCCCATTTGCAACAGTAATTTTAGTTTCCCTCCAATTCCCACCCTTAAGGAAGCTGACCTGTGGTATCTTTGCTTTAGGCTCTTTTATGTAAGAACATAGTACAGACAACGTGATTTTTGGAGGAAACAGTGATTGATATAATTCATTACCTTCATTTTAAGGGCATGAAAACACAAGGCATTAGGAGGAGAAACCTTTGGAGATTCAGAAATGAAAAAAAAGTCACTTTGGTGGACCTCAAGGAGAAAGAAAAATATGTGTTGCTGACAATAGATTTATTGCACACTATTATCAAACTTCTCAATTATCCAGCAATAGCGTGGCATGGTAGATCTCTGTTATACAGATTTGGAAACTGAGGTTGAGAGGATAAAAGAATTTGAAGCATAAAAAAACACATGCAGGTCATACCAATATTGGGCCAGGTGATTGGGTCAGACTTTATGAAGCAGTTAACAATTGTGGGTTTTGAAAGATAGAATTGGTGAAGATGTGGCAGAACAAGCAAATGTGAGTCAGGAAAGTGCACCACGTGATGCTTGGTTGCAGGGTGAACACTTGGATTTGGCTGGTGGGGGTAGGAGGAGTGTCAGTGAGGGAAGTTCAGATTGGAAAGCAGATGGAGGCCTATACAGTTCTAGTATTTCTGAGCTGGAAGGGACATTCATAGTAACCTCATACCATACAGAGGTTAAAGGCTTTTGTTTGCCTTTGTTTTTGAATTTAGACAGGCAGGGAGATTTAGAAAAAAATCTTCATACAGAGACTCTTAGCCCACTCCAATCTTGTGCCGTGTTCAAGGCCACACAGCTAATTGCTGATAGAGCCAAGTCTAGATAGAACTCAAATAATTTCCTTTCCAGCCCATTTGAGTATTTATTGATTAAACAACTACTTGTTGAGTGCCCATTATATGTCATGTATTGTTCTAGGCCCTAGAGGTAGAACAAGCAACATCCCTACTTCAAATAGAGCTTGTGTTCTGGTGGTAGAAGAAATAAGACAACTACCACTTCCCCACCTTAGACACACACTTGGACTGTGATAAACATTATGAAGAAGATAAGCAGTGTCCTGTGGTAGATGGTGAAGAGAGGACTATTTTAGATAGTGGTCAATCAAGAACACTATGAGGAAGTGTCAATTGTCACCCCGGCCAGGAGGACACGCTGAGTAGATGCTTGGAGACCAACTAAGAGATGTTAGAGATTGATAGCACCTGCTGTTATACTGAATAAGGGTGGTGAGGGAAAGGAAGGTATTAAAGATAATTCCTCAGGCTTTTTACTTTTAACAACTGGGTGGATGGTAATGGTCAATCTAATGACATGATCACTGAGAACTTAAGACAAAAGCGAGGATGGAAGCAAGATTAAAATGGAAAGTAAGAAAGTAGAGTCAGCAAGAAGAAAGATCTTAGAGAAAAAAATTCTTTATTTGTTTAAATTCCAGTATACAAATGTCAGCTGCTTTTTTTTTTTAACTTTATTTTTATTTGGTTCAGAAGTTGAAGCATAGGCTCACATTTTGATATTTCTCTTGCTTTTTTACAGTCCACAATGCTAATGTGCCCATACTGAGTAGATATTATAGTTATGCTAAATGAGGTTTCTATAACGACTTTGTTTTCCCGTTGGCTTAGATTACACTTTTTGAGATCATAAGTTTGATATTCTCTTATCAGTAGCTTTTAAGTAACGGTAGAGTCCACTTTTCTCAAGAAACTCTGAACCCAATAATGAAATAAACGCAGGTGGCATATTTATTTTTATACATAATTTTATTTAAACTGTTTTTCTTTATGTTAGCGTCGAGGTAATAATAGCACTCTTTGTAAGTTTATTATCTGTAATTGTGTTCATTATTTCCCCTTACTATCTGATTGCTGAGAGGAAAAGCTGGAGAGAGTCCAAAACACCCAGGAAAAGTGGCTGTAGCATTTGAGAAAAATACTAGGGCCTGGGTTGCCCAAGCCTCTGGCATGTAAAATACTCCATAGACAATATGCAGAGTAGAGGAGAACCACTATTTTTGAACTCTTTCCCCTTTTATTGACTAGTCTTTTGGCTTTGTTTTCTTATCAGTCTCATCTTCTGATTCCCAGAAGAAATTCTCTGCATCTTTAGCCATAAATTGGACCTATGATTGCATAATAATAATAATAGAGAAATATATAGTATAACTTATTCAGTACTAGGACTTAAACATAGTAAATCTTATTCCAAGCTATAGCTTCTTTACCAATTTATAAACCTTTCCACAAATATTGTATATTTTTAAAAATCTAGAAAATGTAGTGATTGAAAATTTCAAAGGTGGCTTTTTTTTAATGTATAACCCATGATCATCTCTAGAAACAATGTTAAAAGTGGTGCTTGTTGCCGGGACCAGTTTGGCTCAATGGATAGAGCGTCGGCTTGGGGACTGAAGGGCCCCGGGTTCGATTCCGGTCAAGGGCATGTACCTTGGTTGCGGGCATATCCCAAGTAGGGGGTGTGCAAGAGGCAGCTGATTTATGACTCTCATTTACGTTTCTAACATTCTATCTCTCTCCCTTCCTCTCTGTACAAAAATCAATAAAATATATTTTTTTTAAAAAGTGTTGCTTGTTAAAGTAGAATTTTAAAAAAGATAAAATTATTACACATGCAAATATAAAATGAATACATGCTGAAGATTGAAGATTTTCTTCAACTTGTTAATTAGTGAAGGAACCAATAAAATGTAAAAAACAGTTCAGAAAGTATTTGAGAAGTTAGATACATAGACAGTTTCATATAATAGATTGCTGGCTTAGCTGAAAGCTGGTTTATTTAAGACAGGATCACAAACTATAATCTTCTGGGCCTTTCTCTTCCACAGGTCAAAAATTATTTCTCTCTCTGTTTGACACCTAGAAGTTACACTGCCCCTTAACAAGTTGTAAAAAAGCCCATTAATGGAAAATCAAGCCCAGAACTAGTCCTGAAAGAACATCCTGTTAGGCCTTTGCTATTTTCAGATTCCCAATAAATATTCTAACATGATTATATACCCAGATGACAACTCACAAGAATGGGCCTGATCATTTTGATTTCTGATTTTTTCTAATAACTAGAAGAGACTCCTTCCTCCCTTTTTTTTTTTTTTTTCCCATCTCTCCTTTAGAATAAGAAGTTTTCCTTCCCCCTTCAATTAATAGGGATTTATTTTCTACTTTTGCACAATAAGGGCAGGGGCAGCATGAGAAGTTTCTTTAATCAACGTGTCCATATCTGTGTGTCTGTCCCTGTCCTTCCATTCGTGTTTTAGTCCAGAAATCTAATTAGGGGAGGAGGATAGGACAGTGATAGCGCTCAGGGGGAGTAGACATGGGATCAGAGATTTTATGACATTGTATTAGTAGATGTTTAAAGTATATGTATCTTGCCGAAACCGGTTTGGCTCAATGGATAGAGCTTCGGCTTGGGGACTGAAGGGACCCGGGTTCGATTCCGGTCAAGGGCATGTATCTTGGTTGCGGGCATATCCCCAGTAGGAGTTGTGCAAGAGGCAGCTGATCTCATTGCACTCTCTCTCATTGATGTTTCTAACTATCTCTTTCCCTTCCTCTCTGTACAAAAATCAATAAAATATATATTTCAAGTATATGTATCTTGAGAAGATGTCATTCTAGTAGCTTTTGGCGTCTGGGCTGCAGGAGTTCTTTCAGTGGTTCCAGTGGGGATGTAGGTAGATTAGCAATAGGGGTACAGCACTTATATTTACTGGAAATTTTAAATTTTTGAGTTAGATATCTCAACAGATTTGGAAAAAAAAATTGAGCATTATGTAGTTAATATGTTATGTTGTTGATAAGAAAATTTTTGATTTTATTATTGCTACTATCTACAGGATTTTCTTAGACCTGAATTGTATTCATAAAACTAAAAATCTGGTTAAATTCTACATTTTGTAAATTTCTAAACTTAAAGTATGTTTGTACTAAAAAATACATTGTTTTTTCTCACTAGATTAATTTAACAACCCTCTAATGGGTTGTTTACTGAAAGTTGAAAAACATTAGCTTATGTAAAAAGCATAAGAAAGAGTTGACATCAAAGAGAAGTGTGTTGTGGCATTGGAAGGGTTGTCAGTCATGAAATCTCCTGTAAACATTTTAGGTGTTTGAATTATATTCTAAGAACAGTGGGAAGACATTGCAAGTTTTTAGGTAAGGGGTGACATGTAGAACTTCATTTTGTGTTGATTGACTTTTGATTAGATAGAGGTTATGCTTTCTCAGCAAATACTGCATAAGTGGTATATTTTTCTCAGAATATCATTTCTGGAGGCACATGATGTGTCTCTATCTCTCAAAGGTGGTATGAATTTTGATCATGTAGTCAAGGTCTTGTCCCACTGTGGGATCAGGCCTAAACCAGCAGTTGGACATCCTTCTCACAATATGAGACTGCTAGCTCCTAACCACTCACCTGCCTGCCCCTGATTGCCCCTAACAGCTTCTGCCTGCCAGCCTGATCGCCTCATAACCGCTTCCAACA